ACTCATTGAGTTATTATTCAATAAACATTTAAGGCATCGGGGGTTACAAATATGAATATGACATGCTTCCTGTCTTTGAGTCCAGTGATGGCGGGAGACACAGGCACGCAGTACGTGTATCTCAGTCACTCTAATACAGGGCACTCAGAGTCACGCTAGAGTGATACACAGGGTATTAGAACTTTATAAAGAAGGATCGTTGAGGTCTCCAGAGATTGAAGGAGGCTCCTTGGACGAGGCAATATCTGAGTTCAGCGTACCTTTGTGTTATTACTGCGTTGACTGAAAAAGAGAAGCTCAACCTAAAAGTTGAGAAATGTGTTTTATTGGGTGGACATTCTGAGGACTTAAGCCCAGAAAACAGTCACTCAGAGAGCTCTAAGAAACTGCTCCAAAGAGGTGAGGGAGGAGCCAGGATATATAGGAGTTTTTGCAACAAAAACCAGGTATTTGGGATATCAAAAGATTACTGTTAGTTAAAGAAAAAACCAAACATCTCAAGTTAATGAATTTAGTGCTTTTCTATGTATAGGAAGACGCACGAGTCTGGGCTTAATGAAATTATTTTTTTGATATGCACCTCAATTATCTAGGATGTCTCCAGTTCCTTTCCATCCTGAGCCCCCTCAGGGTGCACCATCGGGAGTGGGGTCTGCAGTGGCGGACAGCTCGGTGGGGGGCAGCCCTTTGTCTCTTTGTCTCCATCCTGAGTTCCCTCAGGGCTCACTGTTGGAGCAGCTGATGGCTCAGCGGCCACCACATCCTTTGTTTCTGATATGGCAGGTGACATTCTTTATCTACAACTATGGATGTGACTGCCATTGTGCTGGAGCAGGTGGAAAGGGGTATGTTTGGTTACCTATTGCTATGGAATGAACTGCTCCAAAAACTCAGTGAGTAGAAACAATAACAGCTATTTATTTGCTCCTGATTTGGAAACTTGGGCAGCGCTTGGCAGAGATGGCTTGTCTCTGTTCCTGTGGTTTTGGCTGGAAGCTCCAGGATGGCCTCACTCACATGTCTGGTGCCTTAGTTGGAGAAGCTGAAATGGCTGGGGGCTGATTTGGTCTCTCCTACTTTCATCCGCCCCGCCTCCCCACACTCTCCCTCCTCTCTGGGCTCCACTCTCTCTGTATGGCCTCTTTCTCCAGCAGAGTATTCAGATTTCCTTACATGGTGGCTGGCTTCCCAGAGGATCAAAGTAGAAGCCACCTGTCTCTAGAAGTCTAGGACGAGGACTGGCATGGTGACCACCTTCTGCTGGTCACAGCAATCAAGACCAGCCCAGATTCAATGGAACGGATTAGGTCCACCTCCTGATGAGCACAGGTTGGTGACCACGCCACAACAAGGGTATAAAATGTGGAAAAGACCTAGTTTCTTTCCTGAAGGAGTTCATGGCCTCACCCATCTGTGGAATAAGATGGACACACGCTTTGAATAGAGTCTAACAAATCCCTGAATAAGTCCCTTGGGGAACGGCATGCAGGACTGGATTCCTATGAGGTCCTGAGTCCAGCTCTTGGTTTAGGAAGATTCCGGTTGCCTGATACTGCCCCGCAGGGAAATAGAATCCTTCCCTTGGAATGTCATGCTTCCCTTGCGGAATGTGAGCCTCGCTTCAAAGAACAGAGCTGGGAGTTCACTGTGTTTACCAAACAAGGTAACCGTGATCTTTCAGCCTGCTTCTACTGCTTGTTTAGTCATTGCTTGTCTGTATTTGGCTTGAAGCTTATTTTCATTTTAATCAGGTAGCTAGGTTGTAGGGGAGCAGCTAATTTTTGCCTCCTTTAAAATTCCTAGCTATGATGTATTCCAAAAGGACCTCGGAGTTGTGCGTGGCTGAAGTGCCTCAGCCGGTTGATAAGTAGTCTCTCCTTTTCACACCTCCGCCCACAATCTCGACACCTTCTCCATCCCCTCCGTCCCTCTGCTCTCGGCGGTGTTTTGCCTCCTAAACCAGGTTTCACATGTGCACAACAGTGACCCCTTGTGGTCTTCCCTGGGCCCTGCATCTCTAGGGGCTGGCTCCCATCCGGGGAGGAGCCTGCCTCTCCCTGCCTGCACAGGACGCCACCACTTTGTTGGAGGCACACATCGAAAAGAACATTCTGTTTGCCAAGAGAACGTGTCTCTGCAGAAACATATAGCTCAACACAACTACTGCACCGGGAGGAAAGCCGCAGCCTCTGCCAGCCCCCGGAGCCTGCTCACAGCTCTGCCCCGCACTCCTTCCTCTTCCAGTCACAGCTCAGTGATTATTTTGGAAAAGAAGAGCACATCGTGCCACCGCCATCTGATCTAAGAGCTAATTTATACTTGAGCAGAAGATGAAAATTGCTGGCACGATTGGCCTCAGGGAGTTGAAAGCCGAGGGGTGGAATTTCAATGTTTACATTTTCAAAGGATTTTTTTCCCCCAGGAACTTTTAACGGAGGAAATCTGCCATAAGCAGAAATGCAGATACCTCGGATGGTAGTGAAGACTATTTCATGAAACCCAACAGCGGGTATTCATTGCTCATCTGTCACAGCCAAAGGACCGCGCGGGTCGGCGTAGAACGTGACAGAGACTTTTACCTTTCCTGGGGCCTGATTTTTCTCTTTGGCCCCTGCTGAGTTTAGAAATTACAAATGTTTCATTTGGGTTTCTTACTGATCCTGGTGCTTCGACCTGCTATTGACGTGTATGGGACTTAATTACTTAATTAATCATATTTTAAAATTTTTATGGGGGAGGTAATTTTGCATTTATTTATTTTTAACAGAGGAACTGGTAATTGAACCTAGGACCCTGTGCATGCTAGGCATGCACTCTGCCACTGTGCTATACCCTCCCCCCAGTGTGTGTGGAACTTTATTATAATTAATTAATTAATTAGCTTTTCATTCATTAACCAGTTTTGTTGTCCAGTCAATTTTTTTTTATGTGGTAAGAATATTTAACATGAGACCAAGCCTCTTAAACTCACACGCGTGCAGCAGGGTATGGTTAACCATAGCGGCAACGATGTGCAGCGGAGGTCTAGAACTGACTTGGCGTAACTGAAGCTTTATGCCCACTTGCCAACCAGAGACTGTCGCTCACCACCCGATTCTACCAGGATTTAGTTATGAGCCATGGCAGTCGCTGACCTTCAACACACCCTGAAAGGAATTCAGGGTTGAATGAGGCACCCTGTGCTCTGGGAAAACTGGTAGAACAGGACTTAGGATTGTTAGACATTTTCAGGACAGATTTTTTTTTTTCCCAAATGAACTTGGATGCTTGCATCTTTTCATACTTAGAAAAGCACTAAAACATTAACTAAGGTACCTGTTCCTGGTGACTAGCAGCAACCTTCTACTGAGATGTGTGCTTGATGGCTGTCCAGCCCCTCACCCCAACCCCGCCTCTCCCATCCCTTCTCTCCTTTTCTCAAGTAATAAAAACACATCATGAAAGACAGGTGAGTCTTCCCTCACTGATTCCTGACCCACGATTTCCTAGCATCAGCAACTAACATTTTTTTTTCTTCCAGAAATACTTTTTACGAGCATACAGGAGTACGTTTATATGTATTCTCATCTTTTCTTTACGTAAATGGTAGCACAGTCTTTTTCTGTATTTGCTTTCTTAATATTACATTTTCAAAATCTTTCTATGCACATTCTAAAGCACCATTTTATTCTATTAAAAAGCCGTAAACTATTTCAGGACATCGCTGTATCATGGCATGTATAACTGTTTCCAGTCTTTTATGCTACTAAAGATACTACAATGAATATTCTTGTACATACATATTTGGGCACATAAATATCCGAGGGATCAAGCCTAGAATTGAAATTACTGCATAAGGAATATATACCTTTTAATTCTTGATAGATCTTGCTTAATTTCTCTCCAAAACTACAGTTACTCTCTCAACAACAAAGTATAGAAATGTTCATATAGTGTATTATCCAATTTTCTGATCTTTGCCAATCTAAATTTCAAATAATATCTAATAGTTTTAATTTGCATTTATTTTATTAGGAAAGGTAATAATAACAATAAAAACAAGTAGCAGTTAAGTAAGCATTTTCAAAACACTTTGTATATATTTAAACATCTTTTAAAATAGTTAAAAGGCATTTGTAATCATTCTATCATTGTATTCTTGTCCTTCATCCGTTTTCTATTAAGGAGATTAGACTTTGTGTTTCCATGATGTCAACTGGAAATATTTTCCCCTGAACTGTAATTTTTCAACTTTGTGGTGCTTTTAAAATGTACATTTAAAAAAAATTTTATTAATTACTTTTTTGAGTGGAGATATCGGGGGATTGAACCCAGGACCTGTACGTGTTAAGCAGGTGCTCTACCACTGAACTATGCCCTCCCCTGTAAAACGGGCATTTTTTAAAATGTGATAAAATTTATTACTTAAAAAAATAAGGACTTCTGGTTTCAGGTCCCGCAGGCAAGGAGCTTGGGAGTTGCCACTTCAACTTAGCGACAAGTGAGACTGAAAAATCAACAGCTCTTTCAGGATCTGAAAGCAAGATGAGGACACAAGGCAAACTTTGGCCCCCAAGACTGGAGAGATGAACACAGAAGGCCTGGCCTCCCAGAACAGGGACGGGCCTGGAAAGCAGTGCTGCGCTTGGAAAACCTGAGCCGTAACTGACGGACTGCTGGAGGCTCAGCGTGCACCAGCCCGAGATGTAAAAACTGCGGGGGGCCCAGTCATAGGGGGACCCCCGCAATATTGTGATGTTCACCTCCAGGAGCTCAACCAGCTTCCCACAGGAAATTCTGGAGAAAAATCCCTTAGTGCTTCTGGCAGGCGGAGGGGAAAGGGAACCATCTCTTCTTAACAAGGCCCGCCCTCAGGGGAAACTAGTTAACTAGAGCTTAACCTGCTATCACCAGAGCCTCAGTGACCTGGGGGAGGGAAGTATCCAACACTCCCTCACTCCAGCACCCCTCCCACTAAGGGGCTTGGGGGTGGGGGGAAGTCTGAGCAAGTCTCGTGCAGTTCACAGTCCAGAGGCGCAGGCTCACTAGGGGACGGAGCGCACCCTAGGACGGCAGGGTGTCTCCCCGCTCCCCGCACCTGCCCTCCGCCTTACCAGAGGCCTGCTTCCAGCAGTTCCTTTTACCCGGTACATTATATCTGACTATCAAGGGAAAAAAAAAAATGACAAGACAAACCGAAAGGAAAACCCACAATTTTAAGAGACGGAGCAAGCAGCAGAATCAGATACGGCAGGGACGCTGGAATGATCAGACTGGGAATTTAAAACAACTATGATCAGGATGCTAGGGGCGTTCGGGGATAAAGTAGATAACATGCAAGAACAGATGGGCGAGGTCAGCAGAGAGATGGAAATCCTGAGGGACCGAAGGGAAACTCTGGAGATAAAAACCACCATTAAAGAAATGAAGAATTCATTTGATGGGCTTGTTAGTCAACTGGAAATTATGCCGATTCTTTCCAACGTCATTGAGAGGACAGAAGCAGAGGGAATACTCCTCATTCTGAGGTCAGTGCTGCCCCAATTCCAAAACCAGACAAAGATATTAGAAGAGAAAACTATAGATGCTATCATTTACTAATAAAAGTCTATTTTCAGACTTCTATGATTATCAAAAGCCTATTATTTTGTGACATCACCTTATTGAATTATTTTATTGCTTATAATAGTTCCATCATTAATTGTCTATATATAATAATGCCACCTGCAAAATTAATTTTACTTCCCTTTTTCTAATATACATATTATTACACATTATATGTTTTTCTTTCTTTTGTTTAATTGCCTAGGCCAGTACCTTCTGAAACATGTTAAACAGAAGTAATAATAATAAATGACCTTGTCTAGCTTCTGATTTTAATAGAATTGCTCACGTCACTAGTAAGCTTGTTACTAACCTTTGTCTTAAAAGCTTGTGTAACTATATAAAGGTAGATACAGATACAGCGAGGCATGGACACATGCAGCTGTATGAAGGAAGAAGCACGTAAAAATCAAGAACAGATGTTTAATTTTATCAAATGATTTTATAGCATCTCTGGGTACACATGTATTTTACTTGGATATACAAATAGGCTAAGTTAGTAAATTATATAAATAGAATTCTTAAGATTTACCCACTCTTTCCAGGTTTAAATTCTACTTGGTCCTTGGTATATTATTTCTTAACAAGCCACTGAATTATATTTTTACTACTTTTTATTTAGATCTTCTTATATTCAGATTCATGTTAGTCCTTAAGTTTCGAAAGTATTGTGATTTAATTATTAAATGTGATATCAGTATATAGTTACTCCATAAAAATAATTGGGGAACTTTTTTTTTCCAAGTCCTGGAATTGTTAATACATCATGGAATTTTATATTCCATAAACATTGTTTAAGAATTAAGTTGTTTGGTTCTAGCGCTTTTTAAACGGGAAACTCTTCGATAACGTTTTCGATTTTCTCTGTTACCTTTTAAGGCATTTGTACCCTGTGCCACTTTCCCTGGTGCTTGGTTGTACCATCCTGCACTGGTCTAAATGTTTCGTGCATACCTCGTATTTTCTTTCTCTAGTTAGATTGAAATGACCCAGTGCCTCACAGTGTCAGGCACATTCTACTTTGCTCAGTACTGACTCATAAACTGATGGAACTCACTTCTTGACTAGACCTAGCAAGTCACTTTATCAATATGCTGAGGCTGAAAGCCATAAAGTTTAACAGGTGTTTTGTGAGGACTGTGTTCGATGATCAGCTCCTTTGATAAACTTGGGCTTAAACAGGGACTGGGTTTCTTCACTGCAGAGTATCTCGGAACCAAGGACACACAGAGACTCAGAGAGGAGGATGCAGCCTGCACATGGTGTTTTTCACAGTTATTTGGCCATTCAGCTTCCCTCTGGCCTCCGCCAAGAGTGACTCAGATATTCTGCAGCAATACTCCTCAGAGCATATTTTGTAAGTTTTTTTAGAAATTTCATTTTTCGAGTAATTCATTTTTATTGTAGGTTACAAAAATATCAGCCTGTCCTAGTTGGAAATTTAAAAACAATTGTTATTCGCCACTGTCTGAGGGAGACTGTTCTATAGCACGCTTTGTGACATGCAACTTGTACACAGCACACATCTTTGGCACGTCTTCTGAGTCCTTTACTGCAACTTAAATTCCTTTATCGCAACTTTCACGTGTGGGAGAGTGAACTTCCCATGGACTGAACTTTGACCGACAGGAGACCTGAGGCAGGTGGGAGCAGGGCAAATTGACTCCACCTCCCCCATCTTCTCGACACAGCCTTTCTGGTGACATCCCACATGCCAAATGGACACATCTGCAAAGATCTGCTATGTCTCTTTGTGGCTTGTCATGAACAGTAGCCAGAGTGCTAACATTGCTTGGATCTTTCCTTGTCTCGTTTTTCCTGTTTCCTCATTTTTTCTGCCCTAGCTTTGTATCTCACAAATAAAGCATCAAGCCCTATTTTCTTGAGAACTCTAACTAAACACTCTATGCTTATACGGTGGTGTATTAGCAGCTTCCACAAACATTTTCCATACATAAGGATGAACATACAGACATAAGAATATATATACCTATTTCCCTGCCTGCCTATCTATCTATCTATCTATCTATCTTTAACATGTAAGTCTAAATTCCAAGGCAGAAACACTGCAGCGAGGTAAATGGGGTACACACATATATGATGGGGTAACTGAGGCTGGCACCAAACCCAGGGGATGGGACGTGATCTGAAGCAGCCTCTACAGAGTTGCATCGTGGATAATTTCAATTAAGCTGTGTGGGGGCAGAGGTGCAATGGGCACTGGGAGCATCTCAGATGATCCTGTCCCACCTACTGGCTGACAGCAACCATGGAGATGCCTTGAGTGAGAAACATGTAGCTGAGCCCAGAAAAACTCCAGGACCGGAGAAATAATAATCCTGCATTGTTACTGTTGTTTTCAGCCACTCTTTAAGGTTGTTTCTCCCATGGGAATGGATAACTAACACGGTGGGCATGGCAGGATTTGCAGGTTAGAAATGAACTCTGGTTGCAGAGTGAAGATTACAGAGAGAGGGAGGTTAGCCATGTGGGAAGGAAGTACTGAGCCCGGAAGCCAAGAGACCCCAGAAGCTACCTGGGCAGCCTGTTGGCCTTTCCTGCTTTGAGAATTCTCCCTGTGCTGCGGGAATTGTCTGACTAGTGTCCTACCTATGGGGTTACTGAAAACCCATTGTAACCCAAGAGAAATCAGCCAGTAGGGGTCCCCAGGATTCAAATCATGTACCTGCTTATTCCTTCTCATTAAGGCAAAGCTCTTGGGAGCTTTCCTCTGTCAGAAAAGGACAAGGGAAACATTCAGCATTTTCCAGCATTTTCTCTCGTCCCTCCTGAAACGGAGTTTTCCTGAGTCTGCACGCTGCTGGCCCCTCCTCTCTTCCACTGACGGTCCACGTGGCGGGGCCATCGGAACAGGTGGCCCGTCTCCCGTCATAAAGACTCGCCAAGGCATTCTACGTCTGGAGGATGATTTTACACTTTTTGAGACCAAATTCAGGCTCTCCTGTGAGCTTCTCATTCTCCACTCTATTTAGCCCCCTCTGTTTCCACATCTTCCGTCCACCAGAAGCTGCAGCCTCATAGATTTATTGTTGTGGACACATCCATGCAGTTGTGACCCTTAGAGTCCCCGTCATGCTTCTCCCAGTGCATGCCAGGGCTTGGGCACTGGGGGAAATGGGGAGTCATTGTTTAATGGGTATAAAGCTTCAGTCACATGTTTATGAGTGAGTTCCAGATCTGCTCTGTGACACGGTGCCCGTAGTGAACGAACATGCCGTCGTGACTTCAAAACTTGTTAAGAAGGTAGATTGCCTATTAAGTGTTCTTACCACAGAAAACCAGAACAAAACAAAAACAAAGGGACCCAGGGAAACCCTGGGAGGTGTTGGGAACGCCTTTTATCTTGATTGTGGTGATGGGGTTACGAGTGTTTGTGCCTGTCCAAACTGCACACGTTAAACATGCGCAGTTCTCTGTTTATCAATTACATCTCGACAAGGCTGTTAAGAAAGTTCATCGTTCCTTTTGTGCTTCTAAAGCAGGCTGCTCCATCACCCTCCCGGCCCTCACTCTGCCTTGTCCTTTAGTTACTTGTTTACTTCTCTGTGTTCTCTTACTCAACTGGAGTTTCCTTGAAAGAAGGTGTTTTTTTTACCCCCTTACTTATCTTCGTATTCCTCCAGTGCCCAGTAAAGCTGTTGGCGGAAATAAGTTGTCAGTCAATTGAATTTGCAGTGGGGGAGAACCAGGTAGGAGAGAAGGGGCAGATGGAATGGGTGTAAGTTTCCAGTTCTCCTTGACTCCATGGATGGATGGAATGACTCTGTCTGGCTACTTAGCATCTGGTTGGTACCATATGTACACACCTAGGAATCCTCTGGGGTCAGCATAAGGGCCCCCACCTCCCTCCTAAACACCAGTCTGCCCGCCTCTGCTGGGTTGTCCACAGCTGAGCTTTGGCGGTGATCTGAAGTGGATTTGAGGAAGATTGTTCCAGAGACATTCGTCTGTAGTGTCGACTGTATCTCCTTTGTCAACACTTAGGAAAGGATGGAGCATTTTCGGTTTCGGCCAGAGATTCACACTTAGGTCCTCACATTGCAGTAATGTTTCACTCATCCAGTTCTGACTTCTAGCATCTTCAAGCATTTGTCGGGTGGCTGTGAACCCGGAAGGAAGCAATGCAAGCTTGTACCCTTTACTTTCTGCTTCAGCAGAAAACCACCTTCAGATCTGTTGAGGCCAACATGTTTTGGTGACCTGAGCATGTTGGTTTGGTTGTCTGACGTCCTGCAACAGAGGACCGACAGTAGAGACGGAAGCGAGGAAGGGCCCTGGTGACATCCTCAGAAATGACCGTCGACAGAAAAAAACAGGGAGACGTCTCCAACGGCAAGAGGCGTTGTCTTGTTTAGGGGGAAACGCTTCCAATATAACTCCAAATCATGAAAGTTAAATTATTGTTTGTTCTGCTCAAGAAAATAGGAATGTATGAGACACCTAGAAATACTTCCAAATTTATTTAAAAATAAATTAAGGTTATATGCATATAATGCCAATCTCAGGGAAGCTCTGAGATTAAAAAAGATACACTGAAGCCACTAAAAAAGGTTCTAAAATCATTGTGTTTCACGTGCAGGTCTCACGTAGATGAGGGTGAACATGTAGATTTCTGCAAAACTTCTAATCCCTTTTAACTTTCCTCAAAACAAGGGTTATCACCCCTTTCTCACGCTACACCCCCCGGCGTTGGCTTCTACCAGATTCTCATTCTTTTCTTCTTTCTACTTTATCTACTTTATCCTGATTTGGCATCACGATGTCTCGTGGGCCCGGCCAGGCGTCCTCCCGGGAAGACGGGACCACAGCTGAGCTGAGTCCAAATCCTGAGCAGGTTAGGTCGGGGTTGGGAGGGGAGGTGGGAAACCCAGGAAACACTGGAGTTTTTGTTTTTATTCCACCACAAAGGGATGAGCTTCCTTTGTGTTTTTGTTTCATAATTTCCTATTTTGTTTTAAAGAAATGTTATTCTTTCTACTATCTTTTTGAGGCTTTATTTATACTGACTGAAACATCGTGTTGAGATTGTTCTATTATCTACATTTTATTAGGAGTGATTTTCTTGGCTTTTTTTTTTGGTGTGTGTTCATTTTCCTCACATGCTTTGAAAAACAGCCAACAAAACCAACATTTGGAAGCTGGATTCACTTTCAGTAAAGCGAAAAATAACAGAACAGTATTAGGGTGACTGGAAAGCGCAGGTTTCTAAAGGAGAGTCTCCCCTCCTTTCTGCAGTCACTCTGTCCTGAACTGCAGCTCTGTGACTGGCTTCACTGATTTCCTGGAAGCCCTAGGTTAGAAATTAGGTCTTACCCTGATCGCTCAGGGCTCCTTCCCTTCAGTGATAACAGAGAGTTCGCCCAGATCCAGCAGGTGCTTGGCCCAGGTTTTTCTGTATGCGGGTCTCTTCCAGTCTCTCTCTTTCTCCTCTGACCACAGGTACCTTTCATGTGCCGTAGCCCCAGGCAGTGGTCATAGTTTCCCCAGCTCCTCCTTCCTGCCGGTGAACCTGGCTCTGGCCCCTCCCCCGGCCCCCTCCCCTCTTTGTTATCCTACAGGACTTGGATTCCCTCTGCCTGTTTCCAGACCAGGAGCCAGATCGATGCCTGTAGCTTCAGCCCCTACTCACTGTCCCACTTCTCGCTCTGGACATAGCAGCTCTCAATAAATATTTATTAAATGAATACATTAATTAATCTTGTTTTTGGTGGCTGCCATGTCCTTTTTTGGCTTTCAGAATAATTTTGTTGTTGTTGATTTTAAAAAACAAAAGGACATTTAAAGGTGAATGCATCTTGACCGTAGGTTGAACTCCAGTTATCTGGAGCTCCATGTACATACAATAGCTTATTCTTTGCTGACACTTGATAAGTTCCATGTTACTATACTCACGAGCAGGAGCAGGGGATGATGACTTAGCCGAGCAGGCTAGGGCGTGGAGACTCAGAAGTCCCCGTGACTCAAGGCTCATAACTGAAATTCACGAAGCCCTAAGATTACAGGAGTGGTAAAGAAACACAGAGGTTGCCTAGGGAATGTTTCCAAGACGCTGTGACATTTCTCATGGATGCTCATCTGACGACTTGAGTATTACGAGTGATGGAGACCTTACTTCCCCGTAAGTCATAAACTCATAAACATCAGGAACAGAAATTTCTTTAGGTTGGGCCAAAAAAAAAAACCCTGTCCTGGAAATTTCCACCCCTTGGCTTGCGAACAAAGCCACTTCTACGTGATGTCAAATAGATGCCCTTGAGTTTTCTCTGTTTGGGGTAAAGTATCCCCAGTGTCTTTGACAGTATTGAGCAGTGATTCAAAGCAGGCTCTCTGCGATTAGGCCCAGGGGCAATGATGGATGTGTTTAGCCCAGGGGTTGGCAATCTCTTCCTGTAAAGGCCCAGGTCGTAGGTCTTTAGGCTTTGTGGGCTGTATAATATCTGTTGCAACTACTTAGTCCTGCAGTTGTAGCATGAAAGGAGCCACAGACCACGTGGCTGTGTCCCCAGAAAACTTTGTTTACAAAAACAGGGGCAGGCTGGGATCTGGGTGGTGATTTGCTGAGCCCTGACTTGGTCCTCCGATGATTTCCACACCCTCATGTGTTCGACTCCCCGTCCCTCCACATCCTCTTAGAAGGTGGCCTCCGGGCTTGGGTTGTTATGAACAATGTTGTGCTGTTACATTCTACAGTGACTGAGCTTTTTCTGAGCCCAAACTGAAGCAAAAAGAAGGAAAATTCCACTCTGTTTAAAATTAGGTTACGGCAGTCAGCTTCGGCCCGATTCACTCTGCGGCTCACTCCACCCTCGGTGCCTCCACCTGTTTCCCAATTAACACCCCGTCATGCTGAACACCTGCACGGAAGCCATCAGCCGGCTCCTCTCCAGCACTCTCGTCGCCACCTCACTCACCCAGGGCCCCCCGAGTCCACGGCCAGGTCTCGCAGGTGCTTGCCGGCAGGAGGGCCTTAGGGTTTGCTGAGCTTTCCCCAGGACAAGAAATTAATGTGGTAATTAATGCAAATATCTTTGCAGAAGCTTCTCTCCTGGGCCCTAATCAGAAGAGATGATCCTCACATCTCTTTAATTTTGAGAATCTAACTCTGTGTGTGTTGAGGGTGGGCAGGGTGGGAAAGAGACGTGGAGAAGGGACAATGAGAAATAGCAAGGACAGGGGGAGGGCGGAGGGAGAAAACAGCTTCCTAATCCGGGCCAGGCCGCGAGAGGAAAGCTCAAGGTTGAAATCCCCCCTCTCACCTTCTCGAGTTAAAGAAAGTGAAAAGGTCTGTCATCTCGTTACTCCTCCCAAAGGATAGACTAACAGGCTGCATCCTAGGCTCCCAGGCACCTCACACTGTGCTTGGCGCTCTACAGTTGTTGTCACCATTTCTGCTGAGCCCCATACGTGTAATCTTGGGGTCCAAGATGCCAGCAGTGGGCATGTACTAACTCCCCAACTTGATAGCACGCTGGCCAGAGGGTGCTGGCCAAGAAGCTGCACTTGTAAAATCGTTGTCGGTAGAGCCTCAAGGATGGAGGGGAGCCCAGAGGAGGGCTTCTCAAGCGGAGTGTGTGTAGGATCCACGCGGAGCCTCCCTGAAATGTAGGTTCTGACTCAGCGCGTCTGGGATGGAGCGCAGGCCCTGCAGGTTAGCAAGCTCCCAGGTGACGCCCATCGGGCTGCTTGAGCAGCAAGAACGTGGACGGAGCCCATTCTGAGTCAGTCTGAAGGACCACTGCTTCCAACAGGGGGCCTGCTTCCACTACAAAAAGCCGTGCCGAGGTGCGCAACACAGCTTTAGATGGTCTTAAAGGTCAGTATCGTGGCCCAGAGCTCTGAGTGCACTGAGCCTGCTCACTGAGTCCTGCATCTGGCCCTGAACCTTCAGAGAAGTCTGGAGTCATCAACTCTGACCCTGAAACAATGTTTAATCCTGACGCATCCTATTAAGCCTGTTTTATATCTGGCAAATTCAAGACCCTAAATCAAGCGGTGGCTAATTTTCCTAAGGGTAGAAACTGCTATTGTTCTGAATTTAAAGTGAACAGGGAATAAAGTTGGAAGACCAGAGTTGAGTCAGCGGAGACTGACATTTACTAGCAAACTATGTAATCCTCCTGGGCCTCAACTTTACCATCTGTAAAATAGGACAACACACTTAGTACCACCCACGGAAGGTTGATGGACCAAGAAAACGATTCCTAAAACTTTAAATGGGGATAATATATGTGAGAGCGCCCTGCTAAGTAGCATTACTTTGAGACAAAATACATAAATGTCTCATTCCTGCAGAATGGAACCAAGGAACAAGGCTGTGCATATTGCTCTCAGACAAGGATGAGTAGCAGAATCCAGGTGTTCTGCAAAGGTCTGAAAGGTTTCTGCCAACAGAAACTTCTTTCTCCCGGGAGGGTATAGCTCAGTGGTAGAGCGCATGCCTGGCACACACGAGGTCCCAGGTTCAATCCCAGGTACCTCCACCAAAAGTAATAAATAAATAGATGAACCTAATTACCGCCCCCCCAAACCTGTTCTTTCTTATCCAGCTATTTGGGTATCCTCTGACAAGGCTATATATATGGGGCTAATGGCACAGATCAATTAAAATATGAAATATCTCAGAAAGTCTGAACTTTTGGTTTCTCTATAACTGCGCTACCTCTCTGTTTACACACAGGTTTCTCCGTCATCAAGTGAGGCTTTTCAGTTCCCGTAACTTCCGAGTCGACTCCAAGAAGCTTTTCCAGTTAAGGTTATGGAACCCCAGGGAGCTGCACATTTCCGAGTCCGCCTGGCTCTGCACGGCTATTCTGTGAGTCAGATCATGGAATCGGGGAATCTGAGAGCTGGAAGGGGCCTTCGAGATTGTTCTGCGCAAGCCCCTCAGTTTCTGGATGGGGAGCCAGCACTGTCGGCCAAGACCACACTGCTTTTTCGTGGGGAACCAGGGCGGGGATCCGTGGTCCGGCCCCGGACCAGGGCGCCTCCCTCTGCACCAGGTTGTCAGTCTCTCTTTAGGAACTTCGGGAAACTCAGCAGAAGGTGTCTTTCCTCTGGGTAGCAGGCTGTGCTGGAAAACCAGGGAGCTCGGCTGCCTCTGTGCCAGTTGTCAGGACCACCCAGTCACTCAGGCTACCGCATCACTTTCCAGTGACATTCATCATCAGGACGTCCAATCAGAGGCTCTAGGGAGTGAGGCAGAGATGGAGAAGGTTGTTGCAGGAATTCCTAAAGAAGAAAAAGAATTCCTCTACGGGGAGGGGCCGTTCCCAAGTCATCACCATGTTCTTGTCTCTGGGCAGTACTGGAGCCAAATGTGCTTATTGCTGGAAACATCAGGGGTAGCGATGCGTCATTAATAAGATCATAATAGTCATGTTAGCAGAAGTTTGATGGCAACCTGACCTTGCCTGAGCGTTCTCAAAAGACACCCGAGTTTTTCCAGTTCTGGGTCTGACACTGGGACGGTGATTTCTCTTTCCTGAGCGTCAGGCTTGCCGTGTTCAGTGTGCAGGTTCTGCTGCTGGCTTCCAGGAGAGGAGCAGCTTAAGGAGATGACAGAACTTGGACCAGAGTCGACATCTCCTGTACGAAAAATAAATTGGCTTCGAGGTTGTACCTGACAGACTAATAGAATCACGCCTTCTCTCCCTCCCTGCCCCCTTGTTTTTCTGCTGCCGTGCAGCAAAGCACTTTTCTGTTGCTCAGCAACTCCCGGTACCTTTTAGCTTTGACTCCACGCCGCTTTATAATCCTGTTTTCATATTCGCTCCAGGATGACAACCTGCATTTGAGACTGGAGAAAGGGGCCGGGGCTCTGTTCTGCAGGGATTAGCCTGGCGGTGAATCTTCAAAAGGGGCCCCTGCCTACTCCGAATCCCCCAGGTTCTGCCATTCGGACCTAAGGTCACGTTCGGTGTGGACACCCGTGTCTCAGGCCTGAGAAGGATGGACACACAGGTCAGCAGCCCCCAGAGTTTGCTGTCCGTTAGACTCCTCCCTGGGGATTTTTCGAAAGTCCAGGGCCTGGGCTGCACTCCGTCCCAGTTAGACCAGGGTGTGTGGGTGGGGACCAGGCATTGGCTTTCCCTTGGGGAACCTGTGTGATTTCAATGGGCGGCATGTCTGTGAGGTGGGAACACACCCCACATCCACCCATGAAGCAAAGCTCCCCCTTACATTGAGTTTCATGGAGGATGCTGATGGGAAAGAGGCTGCAAAAGGTACAAGCTGGGGGACATCAGAATGGGGAAGATGGCAGGACGAGAGGAAGGATAAAGGAGGAGGGAGGGTGGAGAGGAAACAGAGGGAGGGCAATAGCAGGGGGGGACCCCTGAGGCTTCTGGTGCAAGGAGGTGCTTTTACCGTCAGAGCTGAAGGGCCTGGGGTGTCACGGAAGGGGGTGGGAGGGCTTGGGAGGAAGAGTGTCCCTGAGAAATACGGTGGCACGTGGGTGTGTGGAGGTAAACTTATCAGCTGCTGCCCGGTAGGGATCTCCTGGGCGTATTTCTGCCCTGGGGACTCATTCTTTGTCACTGATTAAGAGAAGGGGTCATCAGCAAAACCTTCCAACCACCCTTTCTCATGCTCAGTACTTCACCTGAAGATCAGCGTCCTGGTTGTTGCTAGGGTTTGGTTTAATCTCACGTTTTCTATCGGCAAGTCCACTGTCCAGGGCAGACATCTGTAGGGTTCATCTCTCCATCAACAGCTGTTGGAAGGAGAACAATTTCTTTCCCCAAGTCCTGGATTTGGGGCCAGAAGATCTGAGTTCTAAGTCTGGCTTTGCCCTCATGGGTCCCCCTCATGGGGCCTCAGTATTTCCTCTGTGATAGAAAAAGCCTGGACTCAAATGATAGGTTTACACACTGTGCTTCCGAAGACCGAGATGCTCTGTAGGACTTTCCAGGAGTGAGGGTGGATTTCTGCTGCTCCTCCAATATGTTCTGCTTCAGACCCTATGACTTGCCTACTCAATATCCATCTACCCCCTTCTTCCTGCTAATACATCCCATTTCCCTTCAAGGGAGAAATGTGCGCAGCTTCAGGTGAGATTCTCACTTTTCCCACCTCTCTTGCAGATGCCAGTGGCTGGGAAACACAGTTCTGGGCAATAACATACAAGTAGAAACCTTGCTTAGAAGGACTTTGCTTTTTACAATAAAAAAGGACAGACGGGGCTGGCATCACTGTCATTCTTCTTCCCCTTGACTTGAACATTGCCGTTAGCTCTGAAGCCAGCGGGTCCACCTTGCCACCCAGGGGCATCATCATGAGGGAGAAGGATCATGAGGGATTTGGCCTTGACATCACCAGACTCCTGAACCATGCCACCAGCTGCTTGACTCAGATTTCCCAAATCAGATGAATCTGTATTTATTCAATCATCAAACGTAGAGTTTTCTGTTACTGGGAGGTGAACGCTTCTGGGCCTCAAAATGGTTCACTAGTCATAAAGAATTCACAAGTTGGATGCAAATGAAATATATATTTATATATTTACCCAATTATGTTTCTTAGACTAGCATTACATTGTGAAACATTACTAGATGTTCCATAGTGAAAAGGTTTGAGAGCCAAAAATATCTGTGTATCACTGAGATAAAGTTTAATGGGTTTTCTTTTCTTTACAGCAGAGCCTCTTCCTCCCTCCCTTCCTTCCTTCCTTCCTTTTCACATGTCAGTGTTCTTTTTAAATCCACATGAGAGGTGTACAGTTCGGAACATTCCCCGGATTTACGTGCCCACGGGCCCTGCGTTGGTTGTCTGCTGCCGTGCAGCAAAGCACTTTGAACAGCTGAAAACCACAAGCACTGAGCCAGGTAGTTCCGTCCCAGGGTCTCTCACGAGCTGCAGGCATCTCCCGGCTCCTTGGGAGGGGTCCACATTAGGCTCACCTCCCACAGGCCTTGGAAGACCCACCTCCCGCTCACTCCTCACCCACGTGGTTGTCCGCAGACCTTGGTTTCTGCCACGCAGTCCTCTCTACCCCACCGTCTTTCACAGGCAGCTGGCTTCCCCCAGTGTGAGCCATGAGAATAAGACAGAGAGACTGACATAGATGACATTGTGTTTTTCTCAATTACTTTGTTTATTATGATGAAATATACACAACATAAAATTTAACATTTTAACCATTTCAAGTGTACAGTTTAGTGGCTTTAAGTACATTCGTGTTGTTGTGTATCCATCACTACCATCCAACTTCCAGATATTTCTTCATCCTTCCAAACTGGAACTCTGTACCCATTAAACACTAACCCCCCATCCCCTCCTCCTCCCAGCTCCTGGCAACCACTACTCTCATTCAGGTGTCTATGAAGTTGACTACCCTGGGTACCTCATCTAAGTGGAGTCACATAGCATCTGTCTTTTTGCAGCTGGCTCATTTCACTTGGCACGTCTTTAAGGTTCATCTGTTTTCTAGTGTATGTCAGGATTTGCTTCCTTTGTAAGGATGAATAATACATATATTATATATATATACATTTTTTTAACCAGTCATCTGTCAGTGGACACTTGGCTTGCGTCCACGTTTTAGCTATCGTGAATAATTCTGCTGTGAACTTGGGTGTACAGACATCTGTTCAAGTCCCTGTTCTCCATCCTTTGGGTATATATACCCAGAGGTGGAACAGCTAGATTGCATGATAAGTCTAGTTCTAATGTTTTGATTACCGTCATAGTGTTTTCCATCTTGGCGGCACCATTTTATATTCCCACCAACACTGCACAAAGTTTCCGGTTTTTCCACACTCTCAGCAAAATGTTATTTTCTGGGGTTTTTGTTTGTTTGTTTGTTTCATAATAGCCATCCTGATGGGTACGAAGTGATGTCTTATTGTGGTTTTGATTTGCATTTCCCTGCTGATCAGTGATAACTGAACATCTTTCAGTGTGTTTACTGGACACTTGTATGTCTTCTTTGGAGAAATGTCTATTTAAGTCCTTTGCCTTTTTTTTTAATTGAAGTATAGTTAGTTCACAATGTTGTGTCAATTTCTGGCATACAGCATAATTCAGTCATATATATACATATATAGATTCGTTTTCATATTCTTTTTCATTATAGGTTACTACAAGATATTTAAATATAGTACCCTGTGCTATACAGTGTAAACTCATTGTTTATCTATTTTACATATATTAGTATCTGCAAATCTCCAACTCCCAATTTATCCCTTCCCAATCTCTTCCACCTCTGGTCATCATAAGTTTGTTTTCTATGTCTGTGAGTCTGTTCCTGTTTTGTAAATAAGTTAGTTTGTCTTTTTTGTGGATGCCACATTTAAGTGCTATCATATGGTATTTTTCTTTCTCTTTCTGGCTTACTTCACTTAGAATGATGATCTCTAGGTCCATCTATGTTGCTGCAAATGGCATTATTTTATTATTTTTCATGGATGAGTACTATGCCATTGAGCTTTTTTTTTGGTTGCTGTTGAGTTATAAAGGTTATTTATATATTCCAGATATTAATTTCATAACAGATTTATGATTCATAAATATATTTTCCCATTCTGTAGGGTGCCGCTTCATTCTCTTGATAGTGTCCTTCGATGCACAAATTTTTAACTTTTGATGGGGTCTAAAGTTAGACTTCCTTTGTTTCTCATACTCTTAGTGTCATATCCAAAAAATCATTGTCAAATCCAATGTTAGGAAGACTTTTTTTCCTATGTTTTCTTCTAAGAGTTTTATAATTTTATTTTTTATGTCTAGGTCTTTAATCCATTTGAGTTAAGTTTTTGAATGGTATAAGTTAAGAGTCCAACAGCATTTTTTTCATGTGGATGTGCAGTTTTTCCAGCACCGTTTGTTGAAGAAACTGTTCTTTCCCCCACTGAACTGTTTTTGGCTCTTTTGTCAAACACCATTTGATGATGTATTATTTCTTGGCTGTCTATTCTATTCCATTGGTATATTTGTCTGTCTTTATGGCAGTACCATATTGTTTTGATTGCTGTAACTTTATAGCAGCTTTTGAAATCAAGAAGTGTGAGTCCCCTGACTTTGTTCTTCTTTTAAGATATGGTGTTTTCATAACCTAATCTTAGAATGACATCCCCCATGCCATAGCCCATTCATTAGGTGTCAATCAATAAGTCAAGTCGCCACTCAGTGGGAGGGGCTACGTGGGATGTGGATACCAGAGATAGTGATCATTGGGGTCAGTTTAGAGGCTGCCTACCACAAAACGCTGTTCGTTTCTATAGAACGTCTACTAAACATTGCAGGAGACAATACTGTTCTGTAACTCATTTTTAGAAACCATGAAGCAGGGACGCATCAGGCACCCCTAGAAGGGCCATGGCCTTAACTTTGTGATTCACTCGCTATCCTCCCAGTAACTTAGCCACAGTGACTCTAGACATGGTGGACAACCGACGAAAAAGGTGACTCAGCTTGAGCTGCTCTGACAGTCTAGTTGGAGGGACAAAATGGAGAAGACACAAGAGGACAATTGTTATTGAAACCAAATTCAGCAAATATTCATAAAGTGCCCCTGGCTGCCCAGCATTTTGCCAGAGGCTAAACTCACCAAGGACACATTGATGCATCTGTAAGTCTCAATATGCTGAGAAGTGCAACAAGGCAGGTGAGACCACAGTGACATCACTAGGTAAGTGAACACCTGTGAATACGGTTATAACAG